CACATGCATGTGCGTGCGTGCGTTTGTTTGATTGGTTGTGTGTGTATTTACATGCATGCATGTGTGTGTGCGTGTGTGTGCGTGTGTTTGCATGCATGTGTGAGCATGTTGGTTGATCGGTCGTTTGTTTGTGTGGGTTAGTACAGCGTGCATGTTCATGTCGGTGGTGCCACGAGATGTGCAAAACGCCATGACCGTGCCCACATGCGATCGATGTTGCACAGATGTTAACAATTACAGTCGCACACGCAACCATGACGTGATGCGAGCAAACAGCAACCACCTACCCAGGAATCACCACCAACCACCAACCACCAACCACCAACCACCAACTACCAGCACCACATGCATGCCACCAACCCACCACTCGCGACAGCAGCGCTGCCACTTGTTGGTGCGTCGTCGTTGTTGTTGTCGCCATCGCTACACGACACCACAAACAATAGCGACCTCCATTTGTTGTTGTTGTTGTTGCTTCCTCTCTCGCTGCTGCTGTGTTGTGCTGGTGTTGTGCTGCTGCCACCCACCCACGACGGACGTCAACCAACGACCGCCATCATGCCACCTCGCAAGTCCATGGCCCAGGGCCGCATCAAGAGGGAGATTGCGGAAGTGAAGAAGGACAAACAAGTAAGAAGAGAAGGAGGCGGGGTTGTGTATTTGATGTACGAGTTCAGGGTTTGTGAAGTCAGGGCGTGTGTGTTTTGTCGGCAGACGCTAACGTGACACACACACACACACACACACCCTGTACAGCAAGCCCTCACACCACACACGTGAACACAATCATTGGCGCTCACCGTTTGCTATGTGCACGTGTTTTGGGGACCCAGCTGCTTGAGAGTGGGACCGTGATTAAGCAGGTGAAGGAGGGCGACTACACACATTTGCACGGCTCCATCCGTGGTGCCCCGGACACGCCGTACGAAGGTCGGTTGCGAACTACGCGCCGTTGCTCGCTTGCTTCCAAGGATATGTTGTCTTTGCTGCCTTGCTTGCTCGCTGTGGACTCCCTCGTACTGACATTTGGCTGTGTGGGCGGCCTGTGGCGCTTTCTCGGCCCCTCGCTTTTCTCGTCTCTCCTGCCAGGTGGCACGTTCGAGCTGGACATTCAAATTCCTGACACGTACCCTTTCAGCCCACCAAAAGTCAAGTTCCTGACCAGGATATGGCACCCCAACGTCAGCAGCCAAACGGGCGCCATCTGTCTCGACATCCTCAAAGACCAGTGGTAAGCACAGTTGTGTCCGTGTGTGTGTGTGTCTGTGTGTGTCTGTGTCGCTGTGTCTGTTTGTCGCTGTGTTTAGACTTGGCTGTTTGTCTGCTGCTCTGTCCGTCTGTCCGTTCGCCCGTCCGTCTGCCCGCCTTTGTCTCTGCACTACTGTGTCTCTGCGTCAACATGTCGACCCTTGTCCTCCTTGACTTGCCTCCCTGCTTGTACACTATTGACCAGTGACCACGTAATCTTCCAAAGTCCGCCTTTGCCTGTATTCACCCTCCCCTATCTATACAAACCACCTGTGTGCACAACAGGGCCGCTGCGATGACTCTGCGAACAGTGCTGCTGTCCCTGCAAGCATTGATGGCTGCGGCAGAGCCGGACGACCCGCAAGACGCCGTCGTTGCCAAGCAGGTTTGTGTGTGTGTGTGTGTGTGTGTGTGTGTGTGTGTGTGTGTGTGTGTGTGTGTGTGTGTGTGTGTGTGTGTGTGTGTGTGTGTGTGTGTGTGTGTGTGTGTTGTTGTTGTTG